ATATCATCAAATGTTAAGTTGATCCTCATTTCCCAGCATCAAGTTTGGCACTTTGTTAGAATAAAAGCATTAAATTAGTCAAATTACTTAATTATGAAAACATTTTAGGGTACAGTTATTTGTTTGGATGCTTTCTTTGATCCAAGTGACTGAAAATAGCTCATTGTCAAGTATTTCACAGGGACAGTTATGACTGTTGGACCGTATCGTCTGTATGATGGAGGAAAAATACCAAGAATGTAAAAGGGTTGAGACTACATCAAATGTAAGTGGAGGACTTTCTAGGAGCACAGGCCAATTGGTGCTACATACATTTGTGCTACATATTAATTAATGGTTAGTTCCAGAAGGCTAATTATCTGAGATTTATTTAGCAATGTTTCCTGAAAATCTAAAAAATAAAATAAATAGTTAAATCACTTCAAGGTCAAATTTTAAGAGATTTCTGCTTCTGTGTAAAAGTTGTACATTTTTACAATTTTAGCTGTTGTAGAATGTCTCGCTGAAAAAGTGTTCTAATCCTTCAAAACTGATGAGATAATGACTAGTCTGAAAGAAAACCAGAACAATTTGTTTTAAAATGATTCCTGTAAAGCGAATGACCCACTCCTCCTCTTCAGATAATCTTAAGGACGCTTGAAAAAGAAGAAGAAGAAAGTATCATTTCTATAGCGGTCACTTGATCACAGTAATGGCTTTAAAGATCATCCTATCACATAATCCTTCCATGTGTGGTGTGTTTCGAGCGCTCTGTTCTGCTTGGTAACATGTTGGGACCACTCTGTTCATAAATCATTCACATTAAACATGTAGGATTGTCTTGGTCTAATTTCAAGAACAAGTGAACATGCTCGATGTTGAATGTGATGTGTAGCCAATCAGAGAGATGCGTAGCTGACTTTTGAATTTTGGAAGGAAACTGCGGGAAATGTTGGTTGGGAGGTGGCCCACTGAAATAAGAGGTGGGCAAACGTGTCCATGTAAACAAATGTCTGAAATACATTTACACATCATACACTGAACATAAATATAAATGCAAGACTTTCTTTTTGCTCCCATTTTTCATGAGCTGAAACATCTGAAACTTTTTCTACATGCACAAGACACCCATGACTCTCAAATATTGTTCTGAAATCTGTCTACGTGTGTGTTAGTGAGCACTTTTCCTTTACCAAGATAATCCATCCCACCTCACAGGTGTGGCATATCAAGGGGCTGATTAGACAGCAGAAATAATGTACAGGTGTGCCTTGTACAATGCCGTTGTACTCAATGCAGTCTGAAGCTACAGATGCGGTCACATCATGAACGAACCAGCGGTTCAGATCGGTGAATCTCTCCATCCCTAATGTGTGTGACTGCACCTGAGCTGACACAGTAATGTAAACTAGGCTTGAGACTAAAACCAAAACAGAAATGCAATTTTCTTCTGTTTTATTCCTGCAATATGTTAATTAGCCAAGTGCTTTCTGGTGTTGATGTACAACAGCCATGTTGAGTTAAATAGTACAAAGTGAATTGTTTCCTGTTTTAGCTCAGAGACCACAGCCAGTGTAGAAGGACAACTCTGGGCTATTCATATTACGACTGTACCCTTGACTGAACTTGGCTGTCCACAGACCAAAGCCTCTTCACTAAAATAGTGACATTAGCACTTTTACATTTCCAGACAGCCAAACAAGTGACCACCAAAAGACGTAACACATATAACACTGGTTTTTTGTTCTGGACTCTACGGGCCAATCATTCCTGCCTTAACCACAGCATGCCCGTAGCCCGGGGTGCCGAGTGGAAACCTGCTTCTACATGAATATCGTTTCACTGCCTGCTCTTCAGCTGGTTTCCACTTCTGTTTTCACGGCCAGGGTTCAGAGGGCAACAGATAATAGGCACTTTTGCTGACAAAGTTATGTGTGAGGAACATCCCTCACATCCCTCCCTGCCCACTGAGACCTCTGCATGACTCAGACACCTGTTCAATGTTGGTTTTGCCCATCCATTTTGCTGCTTGAGGACAGGTAAAGACTTGCTTTCTCCTCCAACCTCTGGTTTCTAACACACTGCTGACTACAAATAGAAAAAAATGCATCAGCTCATAAATCATTTGCTATACTGTGCAGAACAATTTACTGAGGGCAGACATCTGATTTTATACTTTTCATTCCTTCCTTGAAAGAGCAGTTGACTTAAGGATTTTATTTGCTCTATTAGCCTCACAGGGCTTCAACAAAGCCCTTCTGAGCCCAGTGGCCACAGGGGCCACATCAATGGACACAGAAGTGTGCACGGATGTGAACACATGATTGTGTTTATACTAGAGCTTGCAGTCACAAGCTGCCATCCTTCACAACAACAAGCCCCTGACATGGGAGACTGATCTGAGAGGTAAACATTAAACAAACACTGTCACTGCTCACTCTGTCATTGTTCTCCATAGTTCTGTAACTACTAGTGCTTCTGTAAAGTCTGTCCAATTAGTGGGGAAGATTATGAATCTGAACTGGTTTCAGAGTCCCAGCTTTTGTGCCAAAAAAACCTAAAATTCTGGAAAATACAACAATAAATGAACCAGAAGAAGCCATGTTCACGTATTTAAAGCAGTGCAGTAATTTTAACACACTCCTGGTGCACTCATGTCACCTCTGAGACATTTACAGAGTTCTGTGTTGGATGATGATGTGGCATCAGGAACCACCAGAACATGAGAACCTTGTTCTTTTAGGTTGAGTCCTACAGGATTTCCCAACAGTAGTAAATGCTAAGAAGCTAAATTCATGTGAATCTGTGCATTTTGAACCCCAACCCATATAAAACAATAATGGACACTCATATACACCCCCACCCCACCCCCACCCCAAATATACAGTCAGATGGGATGACCTGTTATATAGAATATCCAAAAATAGCTCTTACATAAGTACATGTTGCGTATACAAGTGGTCTATTTTTCACCATCTAAGTGACACAACATAACTGTTCATACACATTCAAGGCTGCACCATCGGGGCCCAGACTCTCAAAGCAACCCTTTGCCCACTTATTCTTCCTCAAAGCAGACAGTCTTGCTCAAGGTCTCCTCTCATCTCTGTGTAAAAGCCAGATCAGCATTCTTCACTCTGAATAAGTGAAGACCACATGAATTTACAACTCATAAATAATAATCGTATGTGATGAATGAGCAAGATGTTTAAATCAAATGTTTGAGTAACCTGTGCTTAAATCAATAAATTTAAAATGAATTTTGTCCTAACAATGATGCATATTAGTTGTATTATTGTTTGAAGAGTCTACTTCCTGTAAACTCTTCTTCTGCTGCTGTCCCTGCAGCTGTAATATTTTCTTAGAAGTGACGACTGGTGCTTAGGAAAGTACAGCAGAAGTGTGGTGCATCTCAGCATAGAGAGAAACTCCCATTAAAACCATGACAAATGCGAGGCTTTATTAAACGAGGTTCTTTTTGCTTCGAACATGAAGGTGTTTCTAATTAGCTTTTTTACATGTTTCGACCGTCGTCTGCGGTCTTATTCAAGAATTAAAAAGAGGACATAATGAACATTGTAAAGAATTTAAAATAAAGTTTTGGAAATGTGAGGTTTGTGAGGGATTTATTTAGCAACATGAAAAAAAGGAGTGTCTTTATTTAAATAAGTCCTACAAATGAAGTCAACTTGATCTATCAACACGTTGCTGCTTTTGTGACACAACTGATAATTCCCTGTCATCTGAACAACCACAACAATTTAGCTGACAGGAAGGAAAAACAACTTGGAACGTCACTGCATTAATTTAAAAATAACTTTTAGGCGATTCTCCAATGTTACTGCAACAAAAAAAATCTGTGATTATCTGCTTTATTTCTTTTCCTGTTTCATGTATGACAAAATATTGCCTGTTTGTTGCATCCCTAACCTTAAAGGTAATAAGCCCTAAATTACATGTTCTAATAAAACAAAATCAATGATTTTTCAACAGATTGTATTAGCTACCACACAGCAGGTATAAAACTAGGGAAGGCCTTATCAGTGTTAAGACACAAATACCATCAAACTGTAGGGTTCAGCTATGAATGAAAGACGAATGACGTTCATGAAAGTGCTCCATTAAAAACAACGTTCTGAAACACATCTTGCCAAAAGATTGTGAAAGTCCCTGTGTCAGAATCCTGGCTTCAAGGAAAGAACCAAACAAGGCTGAAGGATGGGTATTCCCAATGTTGCAAAAACAACAAAGTAAGAGTTACTGAACCAACAAACGCGACAAATAATTCCCCTTTTCCTAGAATATGGTCATTAGATGGGGAACCATCATGTTTTATGACTAAAACAATTCAAAATGGTTGATACAACTTAGGTAAGACACAGAGATGATTCCAGTATAACTCTGGTTTTTAGTCCATCTGTCACCAAGAACAAATAACTTGTGTGCAGAGACCAGACAGGTCACAGTGAAAAATAGTTAATCAGGTTGATGTGCGGTTAAAAAAATCACAATCTGCACCGATGCCTGACTTTGGGTTTCCAACATATCACCATCAGTCTTCAGCAACTTACGATGCAGTCAGCTGTTCTCATAATCATTTCTGCTTTAGCCTATTAAATCAGTTTTTATGATTTCTCAATTTTTGAACATAGTCATAAACATAACCAAAATGAAGCCCCTGAAAACTTTTTGAATTAAAAAAAGGTAATTAGGATGGTTCTTGGACTTTAAAATCCTATGTGACAAAATTGAATGTTGTATTTTTATAATTGTACATTCACTTTCACTTATTTAGCTCAAACTAAAACCTTTAACAGTCCATGCCCACATTAAGCACACAGCCAAACATCTTTCACAGAGGATCCACAGCTACAGCAACCCTGACTCTCTATACCACCTAAAAACTTATTTTTACCTCCGGCTCTAATCATGTCTGGGCTTAAACGGAGAGCTTCAGCAGCTCTGAAGTCCTGTCACTGTTAATTGGTGTAAATGAATGTCAACCAGCAGTGGCGGCTTACTTCAAACACCAGAGACTCATTAGTAGGTCCAGCGGCATACAGGCTCTCTGGCTTGTTGAAAGAGCGCTGGTAGTCGAACACGGTCCCACCAAAGGAGAACTTTCCTGGCCAGTCAACCATCCAGTCACCGGTCAGATAGTACTTCCTCCTCAGGGACCGGACGGCCAGGTAGCTAGTAGACACCTCCATTTCCTGAATATGAATGCTTTGAGCTCCAGCTGGAACCGTCACCATGGTATAATACTCTGTGGGGAACAGCAAGAGAGAAAACAGAGTTAAAGAGCAAGTAACGTCTAAATTAACTTTTTTTTTTTGCAGATGAACTGTATAAATTAGTGTATAATGGTATTTTAAATGTGTGTATTCATTATTTTAGCATTTTGGTGCATTTTCTTTAAAAATTAAAAATTATGCCTAAATACCACAGTATAGCGCCACCTTCAGCTTAAAACATAGAGTTTGAGTCATTTTGAATACACTTTAGCCAATGGCTAAAGAGTTAGATACTACGTAAACCAGTAGAGTACTACGTAGCAGCTCTGTGTCAAATTTATTAAAAGCATCGAGAGTCTCGGCCACTCCTTGTGGCGAGTTGGGAGTTGGGTTTGCAAGCGAGTGTAGGACGGTTAGCGGTAGTTCAGCATTAGCATATAGCATTAGCATATCCTAGTCTTTAGCATAGCTTTTAGTGTTGTACATACTTATTTAGTGTTAGCTTGGCTGTTGGATATTGTAGTTTAGTTAGTGTTTGGCTGTTAGTGTTATTAGGAAAGTAGTTCGGGTTTAGTGTTCCATATTGTGTTAGTATGGTGAGAAGGTGTAGTGTAGTGGGTTCGGTGGCTGTGGGGTTGCACTCCTTTCCGCTGGACTTAGAAATTAGGCGCCAGTGATTGTGCGCAATCAGTGTCTGGAAAACAGTCAGCTCCCGCCTGGTGCTGTCATTTGCAACCAGCATTTTACCCGAGATTCCTTCACCAACATGATGGAGTTTGAACTGGGTTATTCTGCACGTCTCCGTTTGAAGAGGGAGGCCGGCCCACCGTGGCTCTTCCGCGATTTAGATGCAGCCTACCGACTCTGCTCCCCCACCATGGCGGGCTCCAGTCTGAGGTGAGTAAGCTAAATAAAAGTGTTAACATCTTCTAAAGACAATTCCCTACCTAAATGCAAAGTTTGAGAGATGTGGTTCACTTCATTTAGCTAATATCAGCCTGCACTGCCTTTGGGCTGATTTGTGAAGTTCACAAAATGTGGAACGGGATGGAAGGTTAGAATCAGGGGCAGATCGGAACATATCTCAAAGCCCTGGCCAACGAAACGGTCCACATGACTATTACTGTCAGGCTCGGAGAAAATTCGGGTTGTTTTTGTGTCAGTCGGTAATTCTGCAACAGTGAATCTAACTAACGCAGCACTAGTTGACAGACAGCATTACAGCGTGACCCGGTTCTGTGAGGAATTCTGTTCAGGAGGTCGCATTTCAGGCTCTTCACATCATATGTGACTGACTTTTACGTTATAATAATGATCACACACTAGGAATGTTATAAAGCGCCTATATAGGACAGTTTCTTTTGTATAGTATCTGACTTTATAAACAACACAACAATGTGCTTCTATTTTTTTTCAGGCTAAATCTACCCAAGACATTGACTGTCAGACTGATTTTGTAGTCTGCAAGAATGCACTTGTCCAGGCTGACGTGAAGCCTTACCCGGAGCAAAGGTGAATTATTTTGAATAATCTTCTATGTAAACATTTCATTATTACCTTCTAGTTTTAATTTGTTTTACGGATTATTGTTACACGTGATTTTATGCTCTTTTAAATATTTATAAATGTGCTGTTTCTTTGTTTTTACATAGCCACCCAGAATAGAGCTCACAGCCTCAGTGTGTCTTGTGACACAGGGACCATGACGGAAATTAATCTTCCAGAAAGTCCCAGAGCAGCGTCCACACCCCTGAAAAGACCAAGATGTGAGGTGTCTGCTGTTGATTCCAGCTTCCACCTCAGTGACAGTGCAAGCTCAGTGAACTGTTCAAGGTAAAAAAAAAATAAAACATTTCAGAATTTTTAAGATATTAACAATTAAATAAGTATGTGATTACATCATGACATCATGAAGGAGGCTACTGATTCTGGCCCTGTGACACTTGGTGGTGACGTGTGAGCTGATTCACCTGGAAAATAACTTTTACATTAAATATTTTGTTCTTTGCTATTAAAAGTAAATTAACTAATAACCTGCATTATTGCAGGACACTCAGCAAAATATGGACTCTAAACCATGAGGCAGGCACACGTTAATACTCTATAAGAGCACATAAGGTGAGCAACACCGCATATTATTGTTATTATTGTACACTGTCCTGGATTTGTTTTCTTTCTGCATCTCATCATTAGCCTGGCTGATCACCTGATAACTCTGTCATCTGGTTATGACAGCATGAGGATGTCCTCACACACCTGTAACCTATCAGCTCATCTGGCAGAATAGAGAGAGAAGAGACAACACCACATCTCCTGTTCCTGGAAAGCCTTCAGCCATCCTTTGATGACTGAGAACCTCCATCAGCTCTGTCTCCTGTCTGCCCACAATTATTAAAATAAAAATTGTGTTTGACGAGTTTTTTGTGGTGCCAAATATCTCACTTTGATTCCAGTTTTGATATTTTAATGGATATTCATAAATTACATTAATTGAATTATCACATTGTTGCATGTTTAACTAGCTCTGTTGTGATGAATTAAACTAGCACCTCACTGTTAAAAGCTCATTTTAATTTCAAGCATGTTTAAGTATTTATGGACATGAACAAAAACAGGAAATATATCAAATGAGATTTATTTAATTAATATAACAAATAAGGGGGAAAGAGTCATTGAAAGGCACATTCTGTCACAACGTGCCGGTGAGTGAGATGGAGGTGAGGATCCAAGTGCAGGGGAAGAAACAGGCCGGGAGGCAGACAGGAACATTTAAAACACTGATTTAATGGAGGACATGCAGGACAATGAAACAATGAGCCAACCAGACAAAATGGACTAACGGTTTAAATACAGGAGGAGCTGAGACCTTGGGTGATTCGGAGACGAGAGGCAGGTAGGAGCAATCAACATGGACACAGGACTGAACAGAATGGGGAGACAAGACAGGGTGTGACACATTCTTCTGGAAGCTCCTGATCCTGACGACACCAGCATAGACCACCAGCAGACACCAGAGGATCACCTATGACCAAGAGAGCAGCTGGTATCAGTAAATAAATAATGAAATCAGGGCAGTTTTAGTGGGCTGAACACATTACAGAATAATTTTCTCATGGGGTATTTTCATAACTTTTTAACTTGAGCCCAGGGCTCCTGGAGAGCTGCTATCCAGCATGTTTGTGGTTTTCCTGCTTTAACAGGTTAGATTAGCTGTTAAGCAGCTCAGCTATTTGTTGCTGATTAAAACCAGGTGTGCTGAAGCAGATAAACCTCTAAAACATGCTGAATACTAGCTCTCTAGGGCCGTGGAGCCAAACGCTGCAGCTAATCTAATGCTTTTGCTAACGGCTACTTACCATTCAGAGCTGGTTCTGTTGGGTCGGTTCTGGTAGTTTCAGGCAAATCACAAGCTCAAAACATGATCAAAACAGGATCAGGTCTGCTTGTCTCCTCCAAATAGACTTGGTTTCTTTCTTCTCGAGTGTCTGGGTAAGGAGGGGGAAAAACGTCCTCCACTTCTAATAACTGCTCAGAGTGAAGGGAGCTAGCATCGTCTCGTTACCCATCGTCTTCGTCACTGCTGCGGCTCCGCCCTCTCGGTCCGCCAGGCAATGCCTACTAATGTTGCAGTTTTTAAAATTGATACGTGGGTGGAGAAGGACTCTGAGGCACACTTGACCCGCTCTTTAAGTTGTCATGGCTTGTGTTCGTCTTGGTCTTGCAGTGGGATGCGAAGGTTTGGGCAGCCTTGTTAATTTTCATGATATTCCTGTTTAAATCATTGGTTGTTATGATAAAAAAAAACAATTCAGTTAAATATATCATATAGGAGACACACAAGCCTCTTTTAGAAAACAATACGCAACACTGAGCTGGCATCTGGGAGCCTTACCCCCTGAACACACCAGCTGCAAAGCGCCGCAAAGTGGATCGCTCACGAAATTTGCGCACTGGCCATTCCTCCTCTGTCCACATCAGGCGAGAATTTTCAACGAGCGCTTCTGCTTAAGCCCTCACCCCCATCCCAACCCATGCCCTTGCTGTGTGTGTGTGTGTGTGTGTGTGTGTGTGTGTGTGTGTGTGTGTGTGTGTGTGTGTGTTCATTTTCATCCCTCTAATCTGTTTAGATACACAGAAATTATCAGATTTATCAATAGCTGTGTTTTATTTTGAAGAATTTATTTTATTTTGTTAATTTTGCTGGCCTGCCTCTTCTGCTTTGGTTTGACTTCCTGCCTGAAATGACGTGGCTCACTCACGGCTCACGAAAAAATTGAACTTACGCCGAAATGAGCGCTGCACGGCACAAGTTTTCGTGGTGCTTCGCAGCTGATGTGATCGAGAGCGTAGGTTAACAAGGGCGCCAATTAGAAGCTCTCGTCGTTCCACAATGTTTACGTTTTTTAACAAGCCACCCCTACAGGTGTCTGTCCTTCACATTCCCTGTGCACTCTCTGGTGATCTGACCTACAGCTCTAATGGAGTGTAGCGTGATGAATTGTCCATTTCTGACCTAAAAGGCCCTGCTCTGTTTTGCTCTGCTCAAAGCAAAAACAGAAGTTTCTGATACAGAACTAATCTGCATGAAATATTGCTCAAGGTCTCATGCTCTGCTTCTAAACTGTGTCTTAGGCAAAGGACACTTTCTTTTAATAAATCAGAAGAACTCTATTTTTAATAAAGCTAATCAAACAAAGTGTTGGTCAAATAATAAAATGTGAACCAATCTGTGAAATGAAAATGTTTATGATCAGTAGTCAAAATAAGTAATATAACTTTAAATGTTTCCACTAGAGACTGATCCACGTAATGTTAAGTCACATGACACATTTCCTTTTTCTGATCCAATCAGAATCTTCCAGAACTGATGGAGGCGTGGTTTTGTTGGTGCTTGGCCTTTTTTGATTCAACCGTAAATCAAAACATCCAAATTATAAAACTCTGCCCACGTGTTCTTAAACTTCAGTTCAAAGCTTTCTAGAGAAGTGTTTGGAGTGGCCAATCCGTAACTTTCCTCTTCAGCCGAAAGAACCAACGACAAGCTGGATAAATCTGTTGCAAATTCCACCTGCTGCAACGGTCCCTTTCAGAATAAAAGCTGAACCATCAACCCCTTTTTGGGTCTTGCTAGATGCCAATAAAACTGTTGTGACCTGGGAGTATCTCACGACAGGACTGGTTGGCAGCCGCGGCTGTGCTACAGGCGTCAGCTCCAGAAAGATCCAAGCTGGACCTCTACACCCCCTGATCTAGACGGGGACTTCCGCCAAGGGTACGTAGACCGAGAGAATGGCATCTCAATGTGTGTTATAAATCTCCCAAACCAAGCTTAGTGCAAAACATCATCTTCACTCCCATCAGCAGGGGCGGATTTAGGACTGAAGAAGATCCGGGGCTTAACACAAACACGCGTGCGCACACACACACACACACACACACACACACACACACAGGTGGCACGCACTTTTCAACATCATATATATTTGTCTTGTACCACATAATTTTTAATCTGAAGCTACATATTAGGCATATTCAGGGCAGAGTATTGTTCCTGTTAGTGTTTAGTGTGAGATGATAGTAAATATTCCCTTTCTTTCTCCAACAACTTTACTTGATAGTAAGCTAACTTTAGGCAAACCAGCAGCACAACAAATATTTTCAAATAAGACTCATAAACCTGAGTCAACACCAGTCTCATCAAAGCTGGGGTTCTGTCGTTATACTTTTTGTCTAAAAAACGTCCTTATGTCCATCTTCACTCATGCGTTTCAGGCAGAGAGTAGAAGAAGCCGGCTGCTGAAGGGCTTCTTCTTCAGTGGTGGAGGCTCAGGCAGGCTGTATACAAACTACTGCCAGCTGCTCCCTCTCTGTTGGACTTTGGTACTGCATGTTACTTCCGCGTTTTAGATCCGGGGCTTTTCATAAAACATTCAGGGCTTGAGCCCAAGTAGCCGGGCCTAACCCCGCCCCTGCCCATCAGAACTAATCGTTTCTCCGGATCGGCTGGTTCTGAACATATTCACACATACACCATTCTCAGTCTTACTTCACCTTAGTTACACCATACATTTAGTGTTTAAAGTTAGTCTAGTTTTAATTTGTTTAGTAATAAACCTTTAAACTTTTAAAACTTGACTCACTCTCTTTTCTTGAAGTTAGTATGAAGTGTTGCTCAATCCCTGCAATAAAAAGATCTGATCTTCTAATTAAATTTACTTAAAGATCCACTAAGGTGATATTTCATACTTCGTGATATTTCACATTTTATGGTTTCTAATTAAATGTAGGAACATCTCTTCCACAGGAGAGAAGCTCCAGGAGCGCTGCATCACTCCCGTCTCAGCTGATTCTGATTATTTTTATTTTCAACATAGTTGTCAGCTGGAGCTCGGCAGTAACTCCATACATGATCATGACACCTCCATCTTTTGCCCCAAGGCATAAAATGCATTCACAAGCGTGGTGGCATGAATGCTGCTAAATTCCCACAACACCATGCCGCAACAGGTGCCTTCATCAGACACACTGTGTTAACAGTATTACGCTGATTTGCCAGCATGGTGTGTCTTTTAAGAAGGGCTACGGCGGCATTTCAGAAGTGAAACAAAGTTTATAGGATTTACAGAAAGTGTGCAATAAGTGTTTAAACATAATAAAGCAGGTGCATACATTTGGCCACTGTTGACATTTTGTTGATTCCAAAACCTTTAAAACAAATGATTGGAAATCAAAATTATTTTGGTGAGCTCTGTGACCCTTGACCTCCATACACAGGTGAATCCAGTTAAGAAGAAGAGTATTTATGGGGCCAATCGTAGATTTCCCTCCTCTGTGAATATTCTCTAAAGAGCAGCAACATGGGGTTTCAAAACTACTCTCACATGACCTGAGAACAAAGATTGTTCACCATCATGGTTTAGGGGAAGGATACAGAAAGCTGTCTCAGAGATTTCAGCTCTCTGTTTCTACAGTTAGGAACACACTGAGGAAATAAGGCACAGTTCATGTTAAGGCCCCAAGTGTATAGGTGGTGTTATGACACAATCTCTTTCAAAAGATTTGACTGTCTGCATGAAAATAAAAGGGTGGTGTTGATCTAAATATACCATGTTGGAACTCATTAAGCAGTACTCATGTTAACAAAGGGCTGAAAAAATTTAAAACTTTGGTGTCTTTAAAAATATTTTTAGTGTGGACATTACTTCAGGTGCAAGTCCATCTATATTTTATTGTGTCTATTAACTCCTACGATATACATATTCTCACAATGTCTTCTTTCTATCACATACAGACAGATTAGGAAAAGTTTACCGTTAGCTTGGTGCTGAAGCGAGTACTGGCCCTTGACAAACTTGCAAGTTGAGTTGTCTCCCTGACAGACCCCACAGGCATCCAGAGAGGCCTTAGAGCCCAGAATCTGGTCACAACCCACAGCCTAAACACACAAACACAAAAATGGCCGTGTTAATGTGGGCAGAGCAGAGATAGAGATAAAATCCCTCATACAGCTCTTTATGTGGAAAAAACCAGTAACTATCAATAAACCAATCATACTTATGTGACCATGACATGATTTTTCTGTGAAAAGATTATTTGAAAGTTGTACTGTTGTACCTCACACACTCCATCAATGCAGACATCTCCTTGGTGGTCAGAGCAGGAGGTGCCATCCTTAACTTTGCTGGACATGGCAAAGAAGAAGTCATAGTCTTCGGCAATGCAGTACAGCTTACATATGTCTTCATCTGCACTCAAAAGAAATCCAAATGATTCAAAGTATGATCTGGGCGATTACTAGCTTTAGAAACAGCAATGCTGCAAACCTTTCCACATATATTATGGTAAATAATACTTACTGATGGAAGCTAAATAAAAATTGACAAGAACTAGCTACAACTAAACCAGAGGTACCCACGCAGGGTCATGTGTTTTTATTCTCCCCTTAACTCAGATCAGTTTTAAAAGTATTTTCAACCATCTTTGGTTAAAATGACAGTGAAGGTGACTTGGTCCAGGGTAGATCTGAACAATAATTGAACAATGATGTCAATCTATAGACATGTGGTATAATAGAAAAAAAATGGGTCAATAAAAACTTTAATAAAAAAACCTTTTACTTTCATTTTTCAGTATAGCCTATCAAGTAGCTTAATACCAGGCTCTCAACCAATCAACAACACAGATCCAGGCACGCGCCATCACCAAGCCCTCTCCTCTCAACCTGAAACAGACACCACGTGGCTTAAACAAGACAGCCAGAGGAGGCAAAGGAAACAGTCCCATGAGAATAATTTTGTTTTTACTAGTCCTTTCTAAATTTGCATTTGGGGCGACGGTGGCACAGGAGTTAAGTGCTCGCCCCGTAATCGGAAGGTTGCTGGTTCAAGTCCCGCTCAGTCTGTCGCTGTCGTTGTGTCCTTGGTCAAAACACTTAACTCACCTTGCCTGCTGGTTGTGGTCGGAGGGACCGGTGGCGCCAGTGCTCGGCAGCCTCGCCTCTGTCAGTGCGCCCCAGGGCAGCTGTGGCTACATTGTAGCTCATCCCCACCAGTGTGTGAATGTGTGTGTGAATGGGTGAATGACTGATTGTGTTGTAAAGCGCCTTGGGGGGGTTCTAGGACTCTAGAAGGCGCTATATCAAATACAGGCCATTGAAATTTGTTATGGGAGCTGAGGCCAGTTCTTCAGCTGACAGAGCTGCACATGTGTTTATTGTCCTGCGCCGTTACAGGGCTGTGGCCATGACAAGCTTTATAGAGCTGGCTCTCGAGAGACTGTCACTGAGAGAGAGGCATGGAAGCAGCATCCTTCATATCAGAAGCCTCCAAGAGCAACACTGCTCACGCCCGCCTTTGTTTACTAACTAAAGGAGGACAGCACGGATTTCTCTACGCATCTTTTTCTTCACCCGTGTGCTTGGAGATTTCTGTGTTTCCGAGAAGTGTGTGTGAATATGTGGAAAGCCAAATGTGACCCACAGTTCCTTTTTGGAGGAGCTGAAGTGAGTGACGCACACAGACAGACGGACGGCGTGCTTCTGATCGCGGTGATAGTGGTGGCAGGTGAATGCCAGGAGCAGTTACTGCATTAACATGAAGGGACCTGTGAATGTTGGCAGGGACAAATCTGTAAAGCTGGAGGAAAGAAAGAAATAAACAGCGCTACAGAAAAGGGATGAAGAGAGTGAAAACAAGATAGAATTAAGTCATTTCCTGTCATGTTTGGAAACACCACTGTATATTGAGAGAAACATGCTGCAGCTGAACTTTGATTTGAAGAAAATAATGAATTTAACTGAAATCTTAATTTCTGCTAGAAAAATAAACACAACTCAATCTTTTACAGAAATAGTTCATTCCTAGTAAAATAAACGTGTTTAAATAAAATATTAAATTTAAGTCAATTCCTTATTGAAAGTAGATAATTAAGGAATAGCGTAAATGGCCAGAGCCACACTTAAAATATATGTTCTACATTTAAAACCAATATTTTTCAATAATTATCTATATTGTTTCATATGAATTATTTTTTATTGATTTCCTTTTTTTCCATATTGTCCAGCCCTAGTCCAGGGTTCCATAAAGCAGTTCAAAATCTGCTCGTCTGTACCTCAGCCTCCTTCCATCACCAGGTTAGACAGACCTGGGATGACATCAAAACACACTGCTCTTCCTCGTTTTTCTCTCTTCCTTTCACTGTGTAACAAAGCTGGCCCCCAGGCTTCCTTTTTTAAACCCTTTCCCATTCCGTCTTAGGCTACAGGTGGCTACATGCTTCCCAAGCACATTATCCACAACTATAGTTTCCTCCAGCTTTCTGGCCCTAGTCATTAAACAGTAAACAGAGATAGGCATTATATGAACACTTCAGTGGTGATTTGGACCATCAGTGGTACACAGAATATACACGTTCTGCTGATCGGAGACAAGAAGAAGCTTATTCTCTGTAAGTCACAGATAGCAGCTTTGTGAACAATCACCCAAAAAGACAGTAAATCACATAATGTAATGAAAAAAACAGCCACCTTACCATCCACTTTGGTGTAAGGCTTCCACTTGTAGTACCAGCCCCTAAAGGGTTTGCTGTTGTACTCGGCACACTGTTGGGCCCGGAAGTCAATGGCACTGGTGGGGCATGAGCGAGTGTTACACAGATGGTTGAGGCGACTTGGGCCTGGGCAAAATTTACCATTGTTCTGTGGTCTGGGTACAAAATACAACAAAAAAAGTAATTAATCATGACAGCAATGCTTGGATTGAAAATCTTTGGTGGGCTCAATGATCTTTCACTCCAGTACTCTTCAGACCTTCTCATGATGCTGTTGAGTCAAGGACAGTGAGTGTGATGATGCAACACTCTCATTGACCCCTCTACTATTTAGATGTATCATTATAGGTAGCACTTACTAACATTTAAACCCTGAGAAACAATCATTTTCCAATCAACATCTTCCACTTCATCAGTGATTTAAAAACACTGTAGGTGTGATAAGGCAACGGGGTCAACGAAGCGTTGCAACAGGGATTGTGGTATGCTCAGAGAGACAAGAGGTGTGGTCCTACAGTTACTGGTCAACAAAAAGAAAAACCATGAACCCATGACAAAAAGTCTGACTTCTGTCCAGGAGTTCAGTCTATCACAAACCAACGCCAAGCTGTACCACTGCTTCTGCAAATGGTTTCAAATGTCCCGTCCCCTGAAGGAGCCACTATTGTCTTGCGTAGGGAGCTGTATGCACTGCAGAGGTAGTGCGCTGAGCAAGGGACAACAGTGCAAACATTCAATCTGCATACCAGTTACTGATGGTTGCTGGTAGGAAGTGGATCATTTTTAGCTAAGTTCAAATGAGAAAACGCCTCTGCTGTTGTGCCCTTGGGAAAGACACTGAACCCACCTTGCCTGCTAGAGGTGGTCGGACAAACCGGTAGCACCAGTGCGCCCCAGGGCAGCTGTGGCTACATTGTTGTTCATCACCACCAGTGTGTGAGTGGGTGAAGAACCGATTGTTTTGTAAAGTGAATGTGGGGGGTTCTAGGACTCTAGAAGACGCTCATATCAAATAAAGGCTTTTTACCATTTACAAGAATCAAGTATATGACAGAAGCCAATCTAGAGACACAAATCTGTCTTTAAAAACCTTTCTGATTAAGTATACAGATTTAAAGTGTCAGTGTGTATTTTTTCTGGTTATGGGGGCAGTAGATACCTAAATCACTGCAAGCAAGCTGTATTTTTGTGTTGAAGTAAGACCTTACCAATGGATGCCCATTAGTAGGGATAAGCCGGATACTCTGTATGGATAAAGCATTTTTGACGAATACGAGCATGAACTGAGTAAAATTCGTAAATATCTGTAATCGTGATGAAGGAAAATCCTCATTGGGTAACTGACACTCTTCACGCTCTGTGATTGGCCAGTCACATAGAGCACCCACCCCTCCCTACACACAAATCTCTGCAGCTGGGAGCTCAGTCCGGCCCATCCACGCACACACACAGACAGTAACGGAACTCTCTGTGCTTGCTTCACCGTTGCTCACGTTTCTTCAGAACTCCCTAGGTATTCTCCAGCTCACTTCTTTTTCGGTTGAATATTTAGAGTTACTTTTTTCGTAACGTACGTGGTGCATTTGACAAGACAGAGCTGGAAACGGCTCGTGCTGCGTCAGTCACTGCCTCCGCTCAGGTCGAGTTTTTTATTTTTATTTTTTTTACTCTCTCTCTCTCTCTCTCTCTCTCTCTCTCTCTCTCTCTCTCTCTCTCTCTCTCTCTCTCTCTCTCTCTCTCTCTCTCTCTCTCTCTCTCTCTCTCTCTCTCTCTCTCACACACACACACACACACACACACACACCTTAATCAATATTGTTTTGTTCAACGTTGTGTGGGAAAAACACCAAGAACGTTAAGAAAAAATCTGTTTAATCAAATTAAAATAAAAAGAATAAAGTTGTGTTTCATTCTAGTATTTCATATTTAGTAGTTCCCACTGCATGAGTTTTTTGTTTCAATTTTATTTCAAGCGCACAAAAAGAAAAGAAAGAAAGACAATGCACAATATATCGAACATAAAACATTTTGTAAAAAGAAAAAAAAAGAAAACATTCAACATTTTATAGTCACTGCTGCTTGAAATGGAGTGGGCTGAAGTTCTCCCCCCCTTTCAAATTCTAATATAAAATTGCAGTACATTAATTGTATTCATACATTTTACAAAACCAAAAACATTACTTTATACAAAATTGTGATAAGTCAGCAATAGCATTTCCAAAGTATTAGGAACAAAAATTTCCAACTAAACTTTCTCCCAGTCATACATCCTCATTAACTTTACATTTCCACTTCATTGCCCTTCATTTTTATAACGCAAAAAAATTATTTCTTTAAATCTCTCCCTGAATTGTTTCATATTTGTACATTCCTTAAGATTTATATTTAAGTTATTCCACTATTTCACACCATGTACAGAGAAGCACAAAAACTCTTTTTCCTACTATTTGCCGTTGGTAATATAAAATTTTGTTTTCCTATTAACACGTACCCTCCTTCCCTCTGAGTAAACAATTTTTGAACATTAAGAGGTAAGTCATTAAACTTTGCTCTAAATGAAATTTAAACTGTCTGTAGATCCACTAGATCTTTAAATTTTAATATTTTGGACTCCAAAAAAAGTGTATTGGTATGAGCTATAAAGCCCACTCCAAGAATAATCATTAAAGCTCTCTTCTGTAAAATAACAAGTGGCTGCACTGATATTGCATAATTATTTCCCCAGACTTCTGCACAATATGTGAAGTATGGCAAGACCAGTAAACAGCAGAGCATACGCAGAGACTTCTGATTTAAAACTTGCCTTGCTCTACTGATTATTGCTATACTCCTGGACGCCTTGCTCCTTACATGGCTAATGTGAGGTTTCCAGTTCACTTCACTATCAATTAGAACTTCTAATAATTTAATTTCCTTAACATTTTCAATATTCACTCCGCCTATTTTAACTCTAATTTTCAAATTGTTTCGATCACTTCCAAACATCATTAATTTTGTTTTCTTTAAATTTAATGATAAATTGTTTGTGTCAAACCATAATTTGATCTTTTCTAATTCCTTATTTATCTCCTGCACTAGCAACTGAAGATCACTGCCTGAGCAGAAAATATTTGCGACATCGGCAAACAACACCAGTTTTACTGATACTGACACTTTACATAAATCATTAATATAAATTAGAAACAACATTAGACCCAACAATGCCCCCTGTGGAACACCACACGAAATTTCCAAACTATCAGAACAATAATTTCCCAATTTCACAAACTGCCTTTGCTTGGTCACATAACTTTTAATCCAGTCTAAAGCCTTTCCTCTAATACCATAATGTTCTAATTTTCTTAATAAAATATCATGATTGATGGTATCAAACGCTTTCTGTAGATCGAGAAATATTCCAATTGTGTGCATTGTATTGTCTAGTGAGCTGGTAATTTCTTCTACAGAATCTAACAATGCAAGTGATCTTGCTCTTTTTACTCTAAAACTCTAGGCATTCATTGAGTATACTATTTTTTTTCTAAAAAGTAATCAAGACGAGTATTTCATATTTCCTAGTTCCTACTGCATGAGTTCAGATGTATTATTTATTTATTTAAACATAATTTTATACGGAGGAATTACCACTTGAGATGAAACATCTCATTTTCGAGTGGGTCCTCCTGTACAGCAAAAAGAAGAGCAAAAATTATGAGCAAGACAGCAGAGCAAAAATCAAAATCAAAACATTACAACAATCATTTACAGACACACACGCGTACCCACACACACCATCAAAGGCTCACAATACCTCACCCCACCCGATACAACCCCAACTAACAAGGAAAAAACAAAAGCAACAGCCAGTTGAACGAATACAATTAGTAACAGACAATTAATCTGAAGATGATTGACCAGATCCCTTCGAAAAGTTGTGAATGATGATGAAGAACAAATAGATAAAGGAAGATTATTCCAATCACATGGAGCCTTAAAACCAAAAGCATGTTTCCCTACCTCTCTTTTCACTCTAGGAACAACAAAAAAGATCTGGTCATTATGCAGCAGACTGTAAAGTGAATTATAGGGAATTAAGTGCATTTAAGACAATCCGGATAATTAAAGTAAAAAGTTTTTAAAATGAACTGAAACCAGTGAAACTGTCTCCTGACTGCAGGTGCGAACCAGGACAACTATCGATGCATCACACTTCGATGTGTCCTAAATGGATAACGAAGAACTAAACGACAGAGGCTATTATAAGCAACATAAATAGAGTGCAAACAGGAGGATGAAGTGTTCTGTGTGGCGATTCTTTTCCTGACCAGAAAGTTTAAACAATTAACAGATTGATAGAGAATTTTAAGACGAGAATTTAATTCTTTTGTAGTTGATTGTATATGTGTATTAAAAAATAAATCAGGTTCCAGCCAAACACCAAGATATTTTATGGTCTCCATGGTCTCCAGAGGAGAAAAGTCGAGAAAACAAAGCTTAAGGTTTTTTTCTCCAATATTTAGGGCTTTCTTACGAAACAGTAAGGAATATGATTTTGACTTATTAAGGAGAAGTTTATTGGCCAACAGCCACTGCTGAATAGAATTAAAGCATTTTTGTAGTGAAAAATGTATCTCAGTGATAGTTGGCTTATTATAATAAATAACTGTGTCATCAACATAAAGATGAATATTACAGTCTGTGCAGCACAGGGGCATATCATTAACATAAATAGAAAACAACAAAGGTCCCAAGGAAGAACCTTAAGGGATGCCTTTAGATATTCCAGTAAAATTTGACTGACAGCCACTATACAACACACACTGGTGACGATGATGTAGATAAGAGTTAAACCAAAGTAAGGATGATCTTGAAAGGCCAATAGCATGCAGTTTATCCAGTAAAAGATAATGGTCAACTAAATCAAATGCTTTGGAGAGATCTAAGAAAATGGCACCAGTGCACAAATTATTATCAAATTTAATTCATGCACTTACACATTAATGTTCTGATTTTACTGAAAAACTTGTTCTGTAATAGTTCCTTTACTATTGTGATCAAAAGTATTTAATCTCAGTTCTGAGGCTGCTCTGTAAATAGTTTTCTAATAAACAATACACATAGCAACTTCTGATCATTCCATATCAATTTCAGACTTAAAATAATGCATTGATGTAAA